AGTAACCGAGTGTCAGTTCCCATCTTTGTGAACCCACGGCCCAAGGACATGATCGGTCCGTTGCGGGAAGTGCTGGAGAGTGGGGAGGAACCAGTGTACAAGCRAGTTCTATACAGCGACTACACTAAGCACTTCTTCAGGAAGGCGCATGATGGGAAGGAAACCCTGGACTTCGCAAAAGCCTGATTTTAATTATTCTGGAAGCCTTGTTTCTACAAAACATAATGCATGTGGAAAATTCCAAGAATAAAGAACAGGTTGTAGGAGTTGGATACAACCTGTTTTGCTGGTTCTGGTGAGGGATTTACCATTTAATGTACGTTGTCTTCAATGAAGTATTTTATATGCATTGCCAATTTAATTATAAAGAATAATAAAGAAGTATTTGACGATTATGGAAGATTTATAAGAAAAAAGTAAAATAAAATTTCATTCAATAATTTGTTTATAGTGTTGAAGTAGCTGCGAAATAGTATGCCAAAAGAGAAAAAAAAAAAAAAAGAAAGGTAACCACTTAAAAATAATAAATAAAATTAATGATGATATATGACTAACATTTATATTAAAAATACACAAAGTTGAAAAAATGAAAAAAAAAATCATTTTTACTTTAACGAAAATGAAAGATAAGAAGTGAAAAACTTGAGTAAGAGGGCTTCACACCCACCTCATACTCATAGCTTGATGCAGCCACACATGGGGAACATCTTGTATTTGATATCTTTTCATTCATGGGCAGATGTGAGGTGGGTTTGAGGAGGAAATCTAGATTCACTTGAACAACCCACCCAAGCTTATCACAAGTTGTGTATTTTATGTTTTATTCCAAACTTCATGTGGAGGGGTGGACACCTTAATAATTTGATTAAGCATTGTCGAAAATCAGATTATACTCTACAGGAAATGCATAGGTGTATGGTTTAGGTGGGCTTGGTGTGAAAAAAAATAAACTTGGAATTTAACCTTGGTCTTATAGTTTAGGTGTATGTGGATTTAATCTCCATGTCTTAATGTTTAATGTTGGAAGTGGGTTGGCCCTTTAACATTGTTTCGGGAACTACTGTGAATACAAATGAGAACCTAACTATGTGACCAATCAAGAAGGAACACGCCAGTGTTCTATATGCATGGAACCCACATGTGGTGTAGATCCCATGTCTATAGAACACTAGCACATGTTCACTTGTAATTTATCATATATTCAGGCTCACAACTTGTGTTTGCACTGGATAGATCCAGACTCAACCCAATCCAATTAATTTATACCTCTACTTTTATTACAAAATTAAGGTTCTGTTTGGAAAGAGTGCAAAAACAAATATACTGATCAGTGCATTCTGGTCAATGTAAATGCAAAGTCTGTTTAGTTATTTTGTATCAATAAATTTATTTTCTTGTCAAATGATTTTTAGGTGTAATGAATGTAATAAACATGAATCTCAAGATTAAAATATACCTTTTTAATCTAGTCAACTTTGCTCTTATTTTGAATACAAACATGCTTTGAAATTTGTGAAAACTATGATCACCTTAGTGCATAAATACATTCTTACCAAACACTAAAAAATCTGAACCTGAGTGCATATACACACTAAACCACCATTTGCATTCTTCCCAAATGGAGCCTAAGAGGCATTCAAAGAGATTTAAGAGGAGAGAAAGGAGTTTAATAAAAGAGGGGAGAATTTACAAGCATTAACTATGAGAGAGAGACACCGCATATAGCACGCTCCATAGCATATCAATCCATGCATTGGGAACATCTCCTCCCATCTTAAGTAAGAAAGTTTAGAATAATTTTATTGGAGAAAGTCATGGTTAGATTTTATTGAGAGAGTTGGAACTTAACCGAGTTGGTTTATAGAATATATATATATATATATATATATATGAAGGTCGGGCTTGGGCTTTATATAAAGACCAAACTCGGGCTCAACATCTAAGCTAGATGATTGGGCTGGGCTCGGCCTCAATCCTAAATATGTTAATATAAAGAAAAGGTCTGGCCCATGAGCAGGTCTAACCAGGAGCAAGTTATGGTGATAGTTGCCCCGGTGGTCTACATGATACACGCTATTTGCTTATCATGATGGCCTGTCTAATTTTCTAAGATCCCCACATCGCATTGTCTGATTTTCTTTTTTTTTTTAATTTTTAGGGTAAAATACAAAAACCTCTCCTGAAGCATCTGACAATAATAAAAACCTCTCCTCTAGGTTAACTTTAGCAAAATCGTTCCTTCTATTTAAAAAAAAAAAAAAAAAATCAACAAAAACCTCCCTTCCGTTGATCAACCTGACAGAAAAAGTTAAACTGATGATATTTTTTTCAAAATACCCATTTGATCCCTGTACGAGTTATTGTGTTACTAAAATACCCTTTACCCTCTCCAACCAACCACGAAAGAAAATCGCCCTGATTCCTTCCTGTCTTCTTCTCCCTCTCATTATATCATCTTCTTTTCTTATCTCCTCAGCTATCCACTTTGTCTTGTTTATCTTTTCCTCCCAAATGGATCAAAACAACTCGTCCGCAGTCAAAACAGTTTTCCCTGTATTGATCAATATCATCTTCATGATGCTCAGCACCTTGGCACAAGAAACTTGATCAGCAGACCCATAGTTCGAAGCTTGTGTGCCTAGAAATTGTGGCAAGGGCCCAAATATAAGCTATCCGTTTTGGATTCCTTCTCTCCAGAAATCCTACTGCGGCGTTCCAAGATCTGAGGTCACCTACCAAAATAACGAGCCCGTCCTTAAGATGCCAGATGACGATTACCTCATCCAAGATATCTTCTACTCAAACAATTCATTCTGGGTGGTGAACACCAGGGCATTGAACAACGACTCCTGCCTGGCCCCTCTCCACTATTTTACCCTCGATGGCACTCCCTTTGAATTTGGCGATAATCACTAAATCTCTTCTACGACAAYTGCTCCAATTCCCCTCCTGCAAATCACTTGGTATACCCAATGGCTTGTGCTAGCCATCACTCCTTCACAATGTTTCTGTATGATGGGCAGTTTGGCTTGAATCTTTCTTTAGCGACATGCCAGTCAGTTGTTAGTGCACCCGTAAACGCAACACGTATTCCATTTAATGAGCAAAAGAACTATAGGGAGTTTTTGAAGGAGGGATTTCTTTTACAATGGGGTCCAAGTAATTGCATCAAATGTGACGGCAGTAGCGGCCGTTGTGGACTCTATAACAAAAAAATTGTATGTTTTTGCCATGATGGACGGCATTGCTTAAGTTGTAGTGATGATGGTAAGCCAAATGATCATCCATGTGCTCTTCAGATTTCTTCCCTAGTTCCTTTTAACAATTTTTTACCAATTTAGGCTCGGAGGAAGAATAGAGAACAGCATGGTCTCTGATGGAGGGTGATTTGGCCCGATCTCGTAGCATCGGGACACGTGAATACAACCTGGCATAAGTGACAGGTCAGCATGGCAGCCTGGCCATAACTCGGTGTACTGAACTCGCCAGAGCCCAGCAACGTAGCTCGGTGGACGTAGTAGCTCGCCGAGTAGAAAGATCAAGTACACTCAGAATTCTCCCTAAGGGAGGAGGACTACCGAGCTCCTCCCGAGACCCGAACTCCCCCTGGTGGGCCCTGAATTCTTCCTTCCTAAAAAGGGAACACCCCAGTCTACGGGAAGTACCCCGAAGTGGGGACACTTCAGGATAGTCCCATCAATGCTCCTGCCTATATTTGCTTAAGGCTCAACTCGAGCACTCGCACCTCGGCTACCCCGGCACCCCGGTGTGGGGTAGCTCGGATCATAGCAGCTCAGTGCAAAGTAGCTCATCAACCTACAGAAAAGATCTGCTTGACAATAGTACCTGTCGAATCCGGAGGCTGTGCCCATGATGGAGGCCCATCCCAAGGCCCATCTCACTCCTAGGGGCGGCAGCTCCTAGGATAAGGTCAAGAGTCCAAGATAATTCAAAGAATTCAAGATTATCCCAAGATAATTCAAGAATTCAAGAATTATCAAAATTCAAGACCCATCAACAATT